CAACGCCAGGGCACAACAGGCATGGGCCGGGGGGGGAGGGGGGGGGGGGGGGGGGGGGGGGGGGGTCCCGAGGGGGGCACGGGGCCGTTGAGGAGGAGTTGCCGCTTGAAGGGTGCGGGCGGGGCGGGGCCTCGTCCCGCGGGAAGTGGGGCGGTTGTGTAACGCCGCCCCCGCGCCGGGACCGGGAGCGCGGCCGTGAGGGCGGCGGGGACGGGGCGGCGGTGAGCGGGATGAGGGCCGGCACCGGGGCACACCGGGATCGGGGGGTCTGGGGGCGGGGAGTGTCCCGGGACAGCCCGGGACCGGGGATTGGGGGTGATCCGGGGTCACCGAAACCAGGGGGGTTTCGGTACCGGAGGGGATCGGGACGGGGGGGTTGATACGGGATCGAGGGAAGCGGGACCTCCGGGTGCTCCGGGCTCTGGAGGGTGCTCCGGGATCGGCGGGCTCTGGGAGTGCTCCGCGATCAGGGGGGTCCGGGGAAAACTGGGGACGGGGGTCCGGGGGAGACTGGTGGCTGAGATCCGGGATCGGGCGGGGGGTCAGGAATGCTCCGGGATCGAGAAGGCAGCGGGACCGACTGGGACCGGGGTGCAATCCGTGACTGGGGGGGAACCCAAACTGCGGGGTGATTTGGAATCGGAGGAACCGGGGCTGTGAGATGCGCCGGTATTGGGGTGGACCGGAACGGGAGGTGCGCTGGGATCGAGGGGGTACCGGAACCTGGGCGTTGCTGTGGGATCGGTGGGGTCCGGTACCGAGCGGGACCCGGCCTGGGCGGTTCGTCGGTGTTGGGGAAAGTGGGACCGGAGGGTACCTGGGATCTGGGCAACCGGGACCGGCAGTGTACCGGGGAAGCCCAGAACGGGTGGGAGGAGCCCAGCCCGGGGGTCCCCAGCGCTGACAGTGGCCCGCAGGTGACCCCCGGTGCTGGTCCCGTGCGCAGCCCCGCGCTGCATGGACTGGTACATGATGAACTGCGAGCTCCTGGCCACCTGCAGCGCCCTGGGCTACCTGGAGGGCGACGTGTACCACCGGGAGCCCGACTGCCTGGGTAGGTGGGCACCGAGGGGGGAGGCAGGGGTCGGGGATGGCGGGGACTGACAGCCCCGTGTCCCCAGAGAGCGTCAAGGACCTGATCCGGTACCTGCGCCATGAGGACGAGACCCGGGACGTGCGACAGCAGCTGGGGGCAGCCCAAATCCTGCAGAACGACCTCCTGCCCATCCTGGTGCAGTACCCCCAGGAGAAGGTGCTCTTCGACGCCGTCATCAGGTATCAAAGGGTGGGGTTGCGGCCTGGGGTGGCCCTGTGGGGGCTCCTTGCTGGGCAGGGGTCCCTCACAGCCCTCTACTCCCTCACAGGTTGATGGTGAACCTGACCCAGCCGGCCCTGCTCTGCTTTGGGAAGGTGCCAGCTGATGCCACCTCCCGCCACCACTTTCTCCAGGTGCTGTCCTACCTGCAGGCCTACAAGGAGGTGAGTCGGCCCGGGGACGTGCCGTGGGCAGGGGGCTTTGCCCACGTTGCCTCGCTCACATGGGGTCTCTGCAGGCTTTTGCCAGTGAGAAGGTGTTCATGGTGCTCAGTGAGAAGCTCTACAACCTCCTGCAGCTGGTGAGTGCCCTGTCCTCGGGGGGGCTGTGGGTAGTGTCCCTGCTGGGGATCCCCAGGGGGCTGCAGGGTCTGTTCTTTCTGGAGGTTTCTGGGGGGGCTGCAGGGTCTTGGATTACCAGGGGGCTCCAGGGTCCATCCTTGCCATGGGTCCCTGGGGGCTGTGGGGTCTGTCCCTACTGGGGGTTCCTGGGGATGTGGGGTCTGTCCCTACTGGGGGTCCCTGGGGGCTGTGGGGTTTGCCCTTACTGGGGGTCCCTGGGGGCTGTGGGGTCTACCCCTACTGGGGATCCCTGGGGGCTGTGGGGTCTGCCCCTACTGGGGGTCCCTGGGGGCTGTGGGGTCTGTCCCCGCTGGGGGTCCCTGGGGGCTGTGGAGTCTGCCCCTACTGGGGGTCCCTGGGGGCTGTGGGGTTTGCCCTTACTGGGGGTCCCTGGGGGCTGTGGGGTCTACCCCTACTGGGGATCCCTGGGGGCTGTGGGGTCTGTCCCTACTGGGGGTCCCTGGGGGCTGTGGGGTTTGCCCTTACTGGGGGTCCCTGGGGGCTGTGGGGTTCTGCCCCTCTGGGGATCCCTGGGGGCTGTGGGGTCTGCCCCTACTGGGGGTCCCTGGGGGCTGTGGGGTCTGTCCCTACTGGGGGTCCCTGGGGGCTGTGGGGTCTGCCCCTACTGGGGGTCCCTGGGGGCTGTGGGGTCTGTCCCTACTGCAGGTTCCTGGGGATGTGGGGTCTATCCTGCAGGACTGTGGGGTCCTTCCCTGCCAGGGACCCCCAGGGGGCTGTGTGGGGCCCTGACAGCTCTGTCCCCCCAGGACTGGGAGCAGCGGCAGGAGGAGGACACGCTGCTGATCGAGAGGATCCTGCTGCTGGTGCGCAACGTGCTGCACGTGCCCCCGGACCCCACGGAGGAGCAGGTACCAGGACAGAGCCCTTCCCTGGCTCCCAGACACATCTGGGACCTCAGTGGCTCCACGGGGACCCTGACACCCTGCCACCACCCCCAGCAGGGCGTGGATGGTGACGCCAGCGTGCACGACCGGGTGCTGTGGGCGCTGCACATCAGCGGCATGGACGACCTGCTCAAATTCCTGGCCAGCGCCCAGGTGGAGCAGCAGTGGGCTCTGCACGTGCTGGAGATCATCTCCCTCATGTTCCGTGACCAGGTGAGCTGGGCCAGGGGTGGCAGGGCAGGGTGGCAGAGCCCCCCCAGTGCTGACAGAGCTGCTGGCAGAGCCCAGAGGAGCTGGCGGCGCTGGGACAGGGGACAGCAGGGGCCGAGCACGGGGAGGACACGCGGGAGCTGGAGATCTTGCGGCAGAGAGAGCTGGCAGAGAAGAGAGCCCGGGCGCTGCAGCGCACGTCCAGGTGAGGAGGGGGCACCCCCGTGGCAGGGATGGGACCCCCGAGGTGGGGACAGCATCATTCAGCTCCTGTTCCCTGCCAGGCATTCCCGCTTTGGTGGCTCCTACGTCCTGCAGGGCATCAAGTCCATCGGGGACCGGGATGTGGTGTTCCACAAAGGGCTGCACAATGTGAGTGTGGGGCAAGGGGACGTGGCAGGGGGCACAGGGACAGGGTGTGTGTGGGACGTGGCATTGGGGATGTGGCACAGGGTGGAAGGGACAAGGACATGGCGGGAGGTGCAGGAATGTGGTGAGGGGCACGGGGTTGGGGACAGGGTAGAGGGGTAGGGAAAGAGGAACGTGGGTGGGACACGAGATGTGGTGTGGGGCAGGGGGTCAAGGATGTGGCAGGTGGCACTGGGATGTGGATGTGGGTGGGGGTCACACAAGCAGGGAGGTGGCAGTGGGCACAGGGACAAGGACATGGTAGGGGGTACAGGGATGGTGATGTGGTTGGGGGCATCAGCTGGGCAGGGGGCACAGTGCCAGGGATTTAGAGGAGACTGTTGGGACAGGAGCACGGTGGGGGGCATGGGGTCAGGTGCATGGTGGGGGACACTGGGACAGGGATGTGGCAGAGATGGGAACGTGGGTGAGGGGCACAGGGACAGGAACACAGGTGGGACACAGGATTGGAAGATGGGATGTGGAGCGCAGAGGCAGGGATGTGGCGGGGTTGCAGGAACAGGAATGTGGTGTGGGACTTAAGGACAGGGACGTGGTAGGAGGCACCAGAGGGATAAACCTGGCCACTCCATCCCCTGCAGCTGAAGAGTTACTCCCACGACCTGGGCAAGGAGCCCCGGCGGCTGCCCCGGCGCCGGCAGGCCGCCCCCGAGGCCGAGCCCTCCCGCCGCTCCGCCCGCAACGTGCGGCTCTTCCTGCGCCGCTTCTGCCAGGACTTCCTGGAGGACTGCTACAACCGCCTGATGCTGCTGGTCAAGGTGAGGGGCTGGGAGGGCCGGGATCCCCTCTCCAGGATGTGGGACCCCTGCTGAGACCCCCTGGTTGCCCCCAGGACCAGCTGGTGCGGGAGAAGGCTCAGCAGCATGACGAGACTTATTACCTGTGGGCCACCGCCTTCTTCATGGCCTTCAACCGGCTCCACGGCTTCCGGCCCGAGCTGGTGTCCGAGACCGTGGGGGTCCGAGCCTTCCACTTCATCGAGCAGAACCTCACCACCTATTATGAGATGGCACTGATGGACAAGAAGGAGGCAACAACCTGGGCCCGCAGGTGAGCACCTGGGACCCTCCCAGGGCAGCTGGGATACCCTTTGGTGGTGAATCCCAGTACCTGAGACTCCTCGTGGTGTCTGGGAACTTCTGGAGACCCCCACAGTACCTGAGATACCCCCAGTGCTTGGGACTCCCTGGACACCTGGGAGACCCCAGGGCACCTGGGACACCCTTTGGTGGTGAATCCCAGTACCTGAGATTCTCCTTGAGACTCCCCATGATGTCTGGGACCTTCTGGGCACCTGGGACCCCCACAGTACCTGGGATACCCCCAGTGCCTGGGACTCCTTGGACACCTGGGAGACCTCAGTGCACCTGGGACACCCCTTGCTGTCTGGGAGTCTCAGCTACTTGGGATCCCCTGGTGCCTGGGACCTCCTGGACACTTGGGACCACCCTGGTCACCTATGACCTCCCTGGTGCCTGGAACACCCTGGGAACCCAGGAACCCCTGGGCACCTGGGACTCTCTGTGTTGCCTGAGACCCCCTTGGGTGTTTGGGACTCTTGGAGTGCCTGGGAACCCCCCTGGGCACCCGTGACCCCCTCACTGCCATGCCCAGGATGCACTTGGCCCTGAAGGCGTACCAGGAGCTGCTGCGGACGGTGCAGGAGATGGATCGCTCCCCGGAGCCGGCGGTGCGCGACAGCAGCCAGGTCATCAAGAGTGAGTCCCTCTGTCCCTCTGCCCGTCCCTGGCGTGTCCCTGACCCACCCCTTCCCACTGCCACCCTCTTCCCCAGGCAACATCTTCTACCTGATGGAATACCGGGAGCTCTTCCTCACGCTCTTCCGCAAGTTCGACGAGAGCAAGCAGCCGCGCAGCTTCCTGCGGGACCTGGTGGAGACGGCCCACCTCTTCCTCCGCATGCTGGAGCGCTTCTGCCGCGGCCGTGCCAACCTCGTGGTGCAGGTGGGATGTGGCTGCCCTGCTTGGGGGTCCCTGGGGGTCGGGAAGCCCCTCCTGACCCCATCCTTGCCCCCTCAGAGCAAACGTGTGCGGAGGAAGAAGAAGAAGCCTCATGTGCCGGCGGTGCCCGCCCCGCCCAGCGCCGCGGAGCTGGAGCAGCTGTGGGAAGGATTGGCCCCGCAGGTCCAGGCCTGCCTGGAGGTACCAGGGAAGGGTTCAGCCCCACAGGGGGTTCTGGGTGTGCTGGCGGGGCATGAGTAACCCTGTCCTGCCCCAGGGCGAGGTGCCCCTCCCCGAGGACGTGGTGCCCTTTGACGCCGCCTCGGAGACGCCGGTGGAGGAGCAGCGCGCGGAGGCTCTGCTGCGGATCCAGGAGTGCCTGCGGGATTCCCGCGTGCCCCAGGCCCTGCAACTGCTGCGCTCAGCCAGGTACCTGCACCGTGGTGCCCCTCTTGTGCCCGGGGTGTGGGGACGCAGTGCCAGCCTGTCCCCACTGTCCCCAGGGAGGTCTGGCCTGAAGGGGATGTGTTTGGATCCACGGATGTGGGGCCGCCCGAGGAGACCCGGCTGCTGCGGGAGATCCTCGTTGCTTCCCTGCCCGGTGAGTCCCCACCTGTGACCCTGGGAAGTGGGAAAACTTTGGGCTGGGGCGCTGCAGACCCTCAGCACATCCCACCACAGGGCACGCACCCACCGAGCCCGAGGAGCCAGAGGAAGAGGAAGAGGAGGAGGAGGAAGAAGAGGAGGAACAGACCTTGCAGGTGTCGGAGAAGGAATTCAACTTCCTCGACTACCTGAAGCGGTGAGAAGAGTTTGGGGAGGGCCTGGGGGTCTCGCTGGGGGGGCGGCCACGCTGACAGGGCTGTCACAGGTTTGCCTGTGCCCCCGTGGTGCGGGCACTGGTGCTGCTGCTGCGGGGCTACGCGAGGAACAGCGCCCGCACCAACCACTGCGCCGCGCGCCTGCTGCACCGCCTGGCCCGCGACCTGCACATGGAGCCCCTGCTCTTCCAGCTCTCCCTCTTCGCCCTCTTCCACCGCCTGCTCAGCGACCCCGCGGCTGCTGCACACCAGGTCAGACAGGGCCCTGAGCCCCCCGCGGGAGGGGTCTGTCCCTGCAGCCCCCAGACCCACTCAGTCCCCAGAATCTCCCAGTCCTTGCTCTGTCCCTGCAGTCCCCAGCCGTGCTCTGCCCCTGCAGCCCCCAGCCCTGCTGAGTCCCAGCATCTCCCAGCCCCACTCAGTCCCCAGAATCTCCCAGTTCAGTCCCCAGAATCTCCCAGCCCAGCCCTGCTCTGCTCCTGCAGCCCCCAGCCCCACTCAGTCCCCAGAATCTCCTAGGCTTGTCCTGTCCCTGCAGTCCCCAGCCCTGCTGAGTCCCAGCATCTCCCAGCCCCACTCAGTCCCCAGAATCTCCCAGCCCTGTTCTGTCCTGCAGCCTCCAGCCCCATTCAGTCCCCAGCATCTCCCAGCCCCACTCAGTCCCCAGCATCTCCCAGCCTTCCTCTGTCCCTGCAGCCCCCAGCCCCACTCAGTCTCCAGCAGCCCCCAGCATCCCCCAGCCCTGCTTTGTGCCGGCCCGAGCTCCACTCTCAATCTCTGATGTCCTCCAGCCCTACTCAGTCCCTGGTGTCCCCCAGCCCCTCTATCCATCCCTGATGTTCCCCAGCCCTGCTCTGTATTCCAGATTTCCCTCAGCTCCCTTCTCTGTCCCCAGTGTCCTCCAGCCCTACTTTTTGTCCCCAGTGTCCCCCACCCCCACTCTCTGTCCCTGCAGTCCCCAGCCCCACTCAGTCCCCAGAATCTCCCAGCCCTACTCTGTTCCTGCAGCCTCTCTCCCTCCTGCTGTCCCCAGGAGCTGGTGACCTTGGCCAAGTTCATTCTGGGCAAGTTCTTTGCGCTGGCAGCCACCAACAAAAAGGCCTTTGTGGAGCTGCTCTTCTGGAAGAGCCCTGCCATCGTCTGTGAGATGACCAAGGGCTACAGCTCCCTGCAGGAGGGAGAGGGGTGAGTGGGGCTTGGGAGGGGGCTGCCACTCCCTCCTCCCCTCACCTCCCCTCACCTCCCTTCTGCCCCTCTCCAGGACCACCCGGAGCCGGGTGCCCCCCTGGACCCCCCAGGAGGAGCAGGAGCTGCGGGAGCTGTACTGGAAGTACAAGGAGGTGGAAGGTACCGAGGGTCTCTGGGGTCTCAGTGGGGGGTGGCAGGAGCTCTGTCCCTGCATCCTCCTTGTCCCACAGGCGGGGACATCATCGCTGCCATCCTGGCCCATCTCCCCGCGCCCGGGCGGACGCGGAGGCAGGTGGTGAAGCAGCTGGTGCGGATGGGGCTGGCCAGCAGTGCCAAGGACTTCCCGCGGGAGAGGTGGGTCAGGGACCCCCAGGGACAGGGCAGGGACCCCCGGGGACTGGGCAGGGACTGACCTTCCCCCCAGGGCAGGGACCCACGGCTGTTTCCCACCCCGCAGGAAGGGCACCCGCATCGTGCTGTGGACGCAGGAGCAGGAGGAGGAGCTGACGCGGCTCTTCGAGGAGTTCCAGAGCTCGGATGGTGAGCTGGACACGGTGGGGCAGACCCCAAAAATCCCCCCGTAGCCCCCCACCCTGACTCTCCTCCCCACAGACGTCCTGGGGAACATCATGAAGCACCTGACGGCGCGGCGCTCGCGGGCTCGGGTGGTGGAGAAGCTGCTGGGGATGGGGCTGGTGGCTGAACGCAAGGAGCTGTACAAGAAACGCCGGAGGAAGAGCCACGGCCCCGGCCCTGGGCAGGTACGGGGGGCTGGAGGGTGCTGGGCTGTGCCCTGGGTGTGCTGTCCCACCCTGGGGGCACCCTGTCCCCATCCTGGGGGCTGGAGGGTGCTGGGCTGTGCCCTGGGTGCACCCAAACACAGCCTGTCCCCATCCTGGGGGCACCCAAACACTGCTGGCTCCCACAGGCTGCCACAGGTGTCCCTGCCATGCCAACCCAAGACAGCTCAGGGGAGGATGAGGACAGCGAGGAGGAGGAAGAGGAGGATGAGGATGAAGCAGAGGAAGGCCTCATGGAGGAGCACTGGGTGCCCCAGGAAGGGGCTGGGCAGGACCTAGCACAGCGCCTGCATGGGGAAGGTGGGTGGGGGTCTCCAACCCCCCCAGCTGGGCTTGGCCGAGGGCTGGATCCTGTGTCACCTTCTGCTGTCCCCAGGGCTGGCCGGGCCCCTGCGCTGGCTGGAGAACTGCCTGCGGAGGGCAGCAGGGGACCGCGAGGAGGACGGTGAGCGGGGTGGGGGTGGGCTGGGGGGTTCTGCGGGGTCGGGGTCCCACTGACAGCGTTCCCGTTCCAGGCGTGTCCCACCCGGTGCCGCTGGTGCCGCTGACGGAGGAGAACGAGGACGCCATGGAGGACCGGCGCTTCCAGAGCCTGCTGCGGCAGCTGGGACTGCGGCCCCCCGCCAGCGAGCAGGTGAGGTCCCTGTCCCCATCGCTGTCCCCATCCCCTTGTCCCCAGCACAGCCCTGCAATGTCCCCCTGTCCACCCAGGAATCCTTCTGGCGCATCCCGGCCGCCCTCACCCCGCAGCAGCTCCGGCGCGCGGCCGCCTCCATCGCCCACCGTGGCCCCTCGGGGTCCCCCCAGGACCTGCCAGAGCCACCCAGGTGTCCCCAGGACCCAGGTGAGGGGTGGGGCTGGGGGTGTGGGACCCCCAGGTGTGGGGCTGGCTCTGAGCCCCCCTCCTTGTGCCCCTCTGCAGAGCCGCTGCCGGCAGGGCTGGGATCAGACTCGGAGAGGTGAGACTGGAATCCCCTTCTCAGCTTGTGGGGTCCTGGTTTGGGGGGGTCTTCTCCCTGTCTGGGGAGGGGATTCAGCCCCCTGTGTCCTCCCCATGTGGGGCTGAGCTGTGCCAACCCCTGCAGCGAGGAGCCTGTCCCTGTCCCCGTCCCTGTCCCCAGCCCAGCGCAGCCGCGCACCAAGAGGCGCCGGGAGCTCGCCAGCGAGGATGAGGATGAGGATGGTGGGAGCTCAGGTGGGTTCAGCCCCTCTGCTCGCTCCTGGGGGGGCTGAGTGGGCTCTGGGTGTCATCAGGGGCACTGCTGGGTCGGGGTTGTCCTGTCCCTGTCCCATTTGTCACATCCCTGTGGGGGCTCAGCCCTCTCTCCTCTTCCTCCATCCACAGGCACCGAGCCAGCCCCCCCAGCTCCCCACTCCGAGGAGGATGAGGAGGAGGAGGAAGATCCACAGCCCCGGGGGAGGCGGAAGCGCATCCGCTGCCTGGAAGAGGAAGAGGAGGAGGACTGAGAGGCTCCCCATAGCCTGCCTGTGCCCAGGCCTTGTGCTGTTTCCTGGGCTTTTTGCAGATTTTATTCGATTTCTGCAGTTTTTCTGGGGTTTCTACAGCTTTTCTGGGGTTTCTGCAGATTTTCCTCTGCAGGTTTTGATGCTGTTTTTAAAGGCTGCACAAGCAAGCAGTTTTTCCACCATCCTCCCCTTTCCCCTGGTGTCACCATCTCCCTATTTCACCCCAAATTCCCTCTTTTTCCTCAGCTGTTGGCGTTTGGAATTTTTTTTTTCTTAAAACTCTTTAAATCCAGACAGGGCCTAAATAAATAAAAGCGACTTTTGCCCTTCTTGGGTGTGTGTGTGGGTCTGCAGAGGGGCTCAGGGAGTGCCCAGTGTCTGTCCCTGTGTCGCAACTCCCTGATAACAACGGCTATAAAGGAGTCACGGGGCCGGCGCGGCCGCAGCGGCCGGACAGGGCAGGGGACAGCGGCGAGCCGGTGAGCCTGGGCACGGGGCGGGCACGGGGGGCTGCAGCCACGGGGGTCTGACGGGTGCTCTGTCCTTCTCCCACCTCCACAGACCCTCTCAGAGCTGCCACCACCACCACCATGCCGCGGCTTCCGCTCTTCCTCCCGCTCCTCATCCTCAGCGGCGCCACGGCCGCGTCCGTCGTCACCCCTGGGCCGGCTGCCGGTGACCGGGCGCTGCTGGCCGAGCTGCTGGCGCTGGCAGAGCCCATCCCTCCACGGGCACCGGAGATCCCGTGCCAGACCCTTCGCCCCGACGCCCTGCCCGGTTTCTCCCGGCTGCCACCGCTGCCCCGCGGCCTGGCCCGTGCCGCCATGGCCCTGGCGCTGCTCAAGGCTGGCTGTGCCCCCCAGGCCGATGTCGAGGCGCTGGAGCTGGCACGGGAGCTGGGGACCCCCATGGCCACAGCGCTGCTGCGGGGGCTGGCGCGGCTACCGGGCGCTCCGGCCCCGCGGCCGCTGGCGCTGCTGCTCCTCAGCCTGGCACGACCGGGGGGCTCTGCCTGCACAGATCCCACCCGGCTCCAGACCCCCACGCCCGGCACGGAGCCCACGCCGCCGTCGGGCTGGGAATTCCCGGTGGTCCGGCCGTGCCGCGGCGCCGTGCGGCGCCGGCGGGAGGACGAGGACGCGTGCAGCCCGGCGGGGGAGCAGGAAGCCCACCGGGTGCTGGACTGGGTGCCGGGAGTCAGCATCTTCTACAACCTGGGCACCAGCGTCTACTTCGCCTTCCAGGGCTGCCAGGACAAGGCATCCACGCGGGCGCTGGAGGCCGCCGAGGACCTGGGCTACGCCGGGCTGGCCGCGCTCACCGGGGGCTTGGGGGGCCCGGTGGCCATGGGGGTGCAGCTGGGGTTACAGCCGGGGCTCAAGGCCGGCGTGCGGGCGCTCGTCGGGTACTTCACGTCGGCTGGGGAGCCCTTGCCGGTGCCCACCGCCCACAGCGGCGCCGTGGTCATCGTCTGAATAAAGGCCACGTGTGGCATTCGGCGCTGGGTCGGTGTTTGGGGACGGATCGATGAGGGGTCACCCTGCCCTGGGGCACCCGGACCTTGGCCACGTGGTGGCAGCTGGGCTGGGCTTGTTCCTGTCCCTTTGTGGCTCTGTCTCTGTCCCTGCAGCCCCTGTCCGCACAGCCAGCCCATCCCGCGGCCACGCTGCCTTGTCCCTGTCCCCATGGCTCTGTCCCTCCAGCCTGTCCCCATCCCTAGGGCTCTTTCCCTCTCTCCAGCCTGTCCCTGTCCCCAGGGCTCTGTGTCCCTTTCCCCATGGTCCTGACCCTGTCCCCATCCCTGCAGATCCTCCCTGTCTCCCTGACTCTGTACCCTTATCCCCACAGCTTGTCACTGTCCCCACAGCTCCCTATGGCCTGTCCCCATAGCTCTGTCATCCTTGTCCCCATGGCTCTGTCCCTGTCCTTACAGCCTGTCCCTGTCCCCATGGCTCTGTCCCTGTCCTTACAGCCTGTCCCTGTCCCCATGGCTCTGTCTCTGTCTCTCTCTCCCTCTGTCCCCATGACTCTGTCCCTGTCCCCAGGCTGTCCCCATCCCTCTGGCTCTGTCACTGTCTCTCTGTCCCCCTGTCCCTCTGTCCCCATGACTCTGTCCCTGTCCCCAGGCTGTCCCCATCCCTCTGGCTCTGTCAGTGTCTCTCTGTCCCCCTGTCCCTCTGTCCCCATGGCTCTGTCCCTGTCCTCAGTGCCTGTCCCTGTCCCCCCGCCCATCCCGGGCCGCCGCCGTTCCCTCCCCCAGTCCCCGCTGACCCCTCCCCCATGACAACGCCCCAGCAATAACCCCGCCCGCATGGCCACGCCCCTTTCGTGACGTAAAATCGGGGAAACGAACAAACATGCCCAAAGCCGCCGGTTGCGGGGGCGTGGCCTCGGCGCCGCTCTCCGCCAATCACCGAGCAGAGCGGGGAGGGGGCGTGGCCAGCCCGCCTTCCTGCTCCGGTGGCGGCGGAGGTGGGTCGGGGGTCCTGGGCGAGACCGGGGGCGGAACATGGGCGGTTCTGGAGCCCGGGGAGCCCCGGGGGAGGGGGGCACAGGCAGGGGACCCCGGCTGGGGCACACAGAGCGTCCCTTGGAGGGCTGTCCCGCTGGGCGGGGGGCGTTCGGGGGCACCCACCCCTGCGGGAAGGGCACCGGGGGGTACCCGGGGGGTTCATTGGGGGTCCGGTCTACGGGAGCTTCTGAGGAGGGGCCTGGGGTGCTGCACAAGGGATGCTGGGGGTCCTCGTGTGGGCGTTCTGTGCGTGTGCCCCCCGCCCCCGGTGGGGAGCCCCCCTCGGCTCACCCCCTGCTCCCACCGCAGGACGCGGCTGCCGGTCCGCGACCACCCCAGCGGGAGCCAGGGGACCCCCGGGACCACACAGAGCCGAACAGGAGCAGAGGGACCCCCGGGACCGAGCAAGAGCAGAGGGACCCCGGGCGCAAAGGGACCCCCCGGAGCAGAGGGACCCCTGAGCAGAGGGGACCCCCGGGACCACCCAGGACCAGAGCAGAGGGACCCCCGGGAGCAGCGGGACCCCCGGGCCGCCGGTGCTGCGGGCAGGTACGTGGTGTGCAGATGTGCCCGGCTGGCACTCGCGGCTTTTTCTCATCCTCCGCTCCCTCCGTGACCCCGGGGGGGTCCCCGGGACGCCCCTGACCCGCTGTCCCCCCAGCATGGCGCAGTGGCAGGAGGTGCAGAGCTTGGCCAACACTTACCTGGAGCAGGTGCACCAGCTGTACGCGGGCTCGGCGCTGCCCATGGCCGTGCGCCAGTCCTTGGCCGCCTGGATCGAGACCCAGAACTGGTACCGGGGGGGGGATTCGGGGCTGGGGGCGGGCACGGGCAGGGTAGAACCGGTGCTGAGCCCGCGCTGCCGCAGGCGCCAGGCGGCGGAGCCGCTCTGCTCGCAAGCGCGGATGCTGTTCCACTCCTTACTGGTGGTACTGGGAGAGCGCCTGGGCAGCCTGGGCTCGGACCGCGAGGATTTCATGCTGAAGCACAACCTGCGCAAGGCTCACCGCGACCTCCAGGTGCGCTGCAGGGCGGGGGGAGCGCGGTGGGGAGGGGTCTCCGCGCCGCTCTGACCCCCCCAAGCCCCCCGCAGGCAGAGTTCGAGGAGGAGCCGGAGAGATTCGCCAACTTGGTGGCCAACCTGCTGCAGGAGGAGCGGCGGATCCTGCGCCTTGGGCAGGCCGGGGGGCAGGTAGGGAGGGGCTGTGTGTCCCCCCCACACACCCCGGGGGTCCCGCGGCCGCTGCCCCCCACCCCATATCTCCCTCCTTAGGGGCGTTCGGCCCCCGCGCCCAGCCCAGCCCCGGAGAGCGGCCGGGAGCAGCAGATCCAGCGGCGCTTGGCCGAGTTCCACACGGCCCTGCAGGTAACCCCTGCGACCCCCGCGACCCCGTCCGAGCCCCCCGGGGGCTGCCTGGCCCCTCCTGACCCCGCTGTGCCCGCAGGAAGCCGAACGAGCCTTCAGGCACCTGGAGGATTTGCAGGATGCTTTTGACTTTTGCTACAAGGTGCACTACCAGCCAGGTGAGCCCCACACCGGAGAGATGGGGGGTGGGCACTGCCCCGCGCTCTCCCCCCCGAGCCCCCCAAAACCCTGAGCCCGCTCCCTTGCCCGCAGGTGGGGAGAGGAACGAGGACCCCGAGTACATCCAGGAGCTCCAATCCCTCCAGGCCAAACTGCAGAACCTGGACCGGCAGCGCCGGGTGAGGAGGGGGCTCGGGGTAGCCGGGCTGGCTTTGGGGGGGTCTTATCCCTCTGAGCACCCCCTTCAGAGCCACCTCTCCCCCCAGGAGGTGCTGGCTCAGATGCAGCAGCTTTTGGGGCGCAGCGAGACCCTGCAGGAGCTGCTGCAGCAGGAGCTGGGGGGCTGGCGGACGCGGCAGCAGCGCCTGTGCCTGGGGGGCCCCGGTGACACCAACCTGCGCCCGCTGGAGACCTGGTAGGGCTCGGGGAGGGGGCTCGGGGGGCTCGGGGGGGCTGCAACCCGACCCCTCTGAGCTCCCTGAGCCCCGCAGGTTCACGGAGCTGGGCCAGGGGTTGTTCCAGCTGCGGCAGCTGCTGCGGGCGCTGGGTGACCTGCGACAAAAGGTGACCTACGCCAGGGACCCGCTGGTGGCAGAGACGCCCCTGCTGGAGCAGCGGCTGCAGGAGCAGCTCACGCACCTGCTCAAGAGGTTGGGGCTGGGCCAGGAGGGCTGGAGGGTGGAGAGCAGGGAAAAGTTCTTCCCCCGAGGGTGGTGGAGCACTGGGAGAGGGAATGGCGACGGTGCCGAGGGTGGCAGCGCTCCCGGAGTGTTTGGGCAACGCTGCCGGGCACGGGGTGGGGTTTTGGGGTGTCTGTGCAGGGTCTGGAGTGGGATCAATGATCCTGGTGGGTTCCTTGCAGCTCTGGGAGTTCTGTAATTCAGGAGGTCAGGGGGGGTTTTGCCCCAGTTTTAACTTGGGGCAGCTCTCCAGGGGTTGGTGACAGTCCCGAGGGTGGCAGAGCTCCCGGAGTGGCAACGCTGCCAGGCACGGGGTGGGGTTTTGGGGTGTCTGTGCAGGGTCTGGAGTGGGATCAGTGACCCTGGTGGGTTCCTTGCAGCTCTGGCTGTTCTGTAATTCAGGAGCTCAGGGAGGGTTCAGGCTCTCAGGGATTTGGGGGAAATTTTGTGTTGTCCTGTGCGGGGCCAGCAGCTGGACTTTGATCCTGATGGGTCCCTTCCAGCTCTGGATGGTTCAAGAGGTCAGGGAGAGGTTGGACAACGCTCTCAGGTGTTGGCATTTAGGATTTTTGGGGGTGTCCTGGGACTCAAGGATTGTTGTGGGCCCCTTCCCACCTCAAGGAGCATTTGGAGAAGGCTCTCAGGGACAGGGTGGGATTTTGGGGTGTCTTGAGTGTGGAGCTGGGCTTTGATCCCTGTAGGTCCCTTCCAGCTCAGGGTATTCCATAATTCCAGGGGTCAGGGACAGTTTGGACAACGCTTTCAGGCCCTCAGTGCTCTCAAGTGTTGGGATTTGGGGACTGAGGGGACTTTTGGGGTTGTCCCATGCTAAACCAGGGGTTTGACTCGACCGTTCTGATGGATCCATTCCATCTCTGGATATTCCACAGCTCAAGGGCTGCTTGGACATCACTCAAATGTTGGGATTTGGGACTGGGGGGACTTTTGGGATTGTCCCATTGCCAGGTCAGAAGTTGGACTTGGTGATCCTGATGGGTCCCTTCCATCTCTGGGTGTCTGGACACCACTCAAACATTGGGATTTGGGACAGGGCAGGTTTTGGGGTTATCCCATGCCAGGAGTTGGACTTCTGATAGGTTCTTTCCATCTCTGGGTGTTTGGACATCACTCAAACATTGGGATTTAGGACTGGGGGGAATTTTGGGGTTGTCCCATGCTAAACCAGGGGTTTGACTCCTGATGGCTCCCTTCCATCTCTGGGTGTCTGGACATCACTCAAACATTGGAATTTAGGACAGGGCAGATTTTGGGGCTGTCCCATGCCAGGAGTTTGACTCCTGATGGGTCTCTCTCATCTCTGGGTGTTTGGACACCACTCGAACATTGGGATTTAGGACAGGGCAGATTTTGGGGTGGTCCCATGCCAGGAGCTGGACTTCTGATGGGTCTCTTCCATCTCTGGGTGTCTGGACACCACTCAAACATTGGGATCTGGGACAGGGCAGGTTTTGGTGTTGTCCCGTGCCAAACCAGGACTTCAGCCTTCACGGCTTCCCTCCGCCTGGGGTATCCCAGGATTTCCAGCGGTGGGGTCGGCCCGGGGGGTCTCGGGGCAGCGCTGACCCCCCGCTTTCCCCAGCGCCTTCGTGGTGGAGCAGCAGCCCAGCACGCCCAACGCCGGGAAGCGGCCGCTGGTGCTGCGCACCGCCGGCAAGTTCTCGACGCGCGCGCGGCTGCTGGTGCGGCTGCACGACCGCAACCACGGCATGGAGGCCAGGATCCACATGGACAGGTGAGGGGCCTCGGGCCGGAGAGCGCAAAATTGTCAGATTAGATTGAATTAAATTAAATTAAATTAATTGGTTTTGGTCAAATGAAATTTTTTTTTTGTTAAATTAAATGAAATTATTTTGTTTGTTAAATGAATTAAATTAAATGACATTAAATGAATTAAATTAAATTGAGTTAAATTAAATGATTTTGTTTGTTAAATTAATTAAATTAAATTAAATTAAATTAAATTAAAATAAATGAATGGAATAAAATAAAATTAAATTATTTCATTTGTTAGATTAAATTAAATTATTTCATTTGTTAAATTAAATTAAATTAAATTATTTCATTTGTTAAATTAAATTATTTTGTTTTTTAAATTGAATTATTTAATTCAATTAAATAATAATTATATTATTTAGTATACTAAAATTTTAACTTATTCAATTAAATTATTTAATTTATTGAGTTAAAGAATTATTAGGAATAATTCTATTATTTAATATTAATTTAATAATTTTATTTATTAATTTTAAATTAATTTTGTTTAATTATAATGTATTATTCAATTAAATAATAATAAATAATTATATTATTGGACATATTAAATTTTTATTTATTCAATTAAATTATTGAATTTATGAAATGAAACAATAATTATTACTAATTATATTATTGGACAACAATTATTACTAATTATATTATTGGATTATGAAATTAAATAATAATTATAACGAATTCTGTTATTGAATTTATTGAATTTATACTTTATCAATTTCAATTATAGTATATATTAAATTTTTTATTTCTTCAATCAAATTATTACATTTATAAAATTAAATCATAATTACCAATAATTATTTAATTTACTCTATTTTTTATTTATGAAAGTAAATTATTTAAGATCTGAATCCCATCCCTTTAATGAATCCAACACCAGCTCCAGGACCCCCCCGAGCCCCCTGCCCGCCCGTGGGGGTCCCGCTGGCCCTGACCCCCCCTTGTCTCTTGCAGGGACCCGCCCAACATCAAAGGGTGAGAGCTGGGACAGCGCTGGAGGGGCTGCGACCCCCCCCGGGGGTCCTGAGCCCCCACCCCCGGTCCTGGGGGGGCCCTGAACTCTCTCTGACATCCCTGGGGGGGACCCGACCCCCATCTGACATCCCTGGGGGGGTCCTGAACCCCCCCTGCCATCTCTGAGTGGGGGTCCTGAATACCCCCCACCATCTTTGTGGGGGTCCTGAACCTCTTCTGCCATCCTTTGGAGGGGGGGTCCCGACTAGGTCTGCATCCCCCAGGGGTCCCAACCACCCCCCAGCCCCTCTGGGGGTCCTGACTCCTCACCCCCAGCCCCTGAGGGGGGGTCCTGAATCCCCCTGCCATCTCTGGGGGTGACCCGACCCCCACCTGCCATCCCTTGGGGGGGGTCCTCAGCTCCCCCTGACATCCCTGGGGGGGCTCTGAACCCTCCTGCTATCTCTGGGGAGGGGTCCTGAATCCCCCCGACATCCCTGGGGGGGTCCTGAACCCCCCCTGCCATCTCTGAGTGGGGGTCCTGAACCCCCCCTGCCATCTCTGAGTGCGGGTCCTGAATCCCCCCCACCATCTTTGGGGAGGGTCCCAAACACCCCCTGCCATCCCTGGGGGGGCCCTGAACCCCCCTGCCATCTCTGGGTGGGGGTCCTGATCTCCCCCCCCTCCATCCCTGGGTGGGGGTCCCGACAGGGCTGCATCCCCCAGGGGTCTCAATCCCACCCCCAGTCCCTCTGGGGGTCCCAACCCACCACCCACAGCTGGGCAATGTCCCCTCCTTGGGAGAGGGGGTGGGGTCCTGCCCCCCACCCACAGCACCCCCCAGGGGTCCTGCCCCTCCCGGGGGCTCGGTGAGGACCCCACCCCAGGCTGACTCTGCCATCCCCGCAGACGCTGAAGGAGCAGAAGGACAGCAGGGCTGGCAAGGGCAAAGGTGCCAGCGGCGAGGTGGGCACGGGACGGGGCTGGGGGGGCCGCGGGGGGGCCGGGCCGGGAGGTGACAGCGGTGTCACCTCCCCGCAGGGTCCCCTGGTTGTGACAGAGGAGCTGCACCTCATCACCTTCACGCTGGCTTACGCCTACTGCGGGCTGGAGCTGGAGCTGGAGGTGAGGGCTGGGGGGCTTGGGGGGGACAGGGGGGCTTGGGGACAGCCAGCCTGAGCCCCTGTCCCCTCGCCAGGCCACCACGCTGCCCTTTGTCATCATCTCCAACAACAACCAGTTCTCCAGCGCCTGGGCCTCCATCCTGTGGTTCAACATGCTCAGCTCTGACCCCAAGGCGAGCGGGACCCCCGCCCTGTGCCACCCCTGCCTCGTGTCCCCCGCGCTGCTCCCTGTCCCCTCCCTAGCCCTGCCCCTTGCCCAGTCTGTGTCCTGGTTGTCCCCTGTGCCCTGTCCCCAGGTCTAGGCCCGGTCCCTGCCCCATCCCAGGTGCAGATCTCTGTCCCCTGGTCCCAGTGGCCTGCCCTGCCTCTTGTCCTTGTCCCATCCCCTGCTTTGATGCCTGTCCTTGGTCCTTGTCCCCTGCCCTGGTGCCTGTCCCCATCCCTTGAACCCCCTCCCCTGCCACTGACCCCCATCCCTTAATCCCTGTCCCATCCCCTGGTCCTTGTCTTGTCCCTTGATCCCTGTCGCTGACGGTGCCTCCCCCAGACTCATCCTGGGCTTCGTGAGCCACAAGCAGGCGGAGAAGCTGCTCAAGTCCAGGCGGACGGGGACGTTCCTGCTGCGCTTCAGCGAGAGCGTCCTCGGGGGTGTCACCTTCACGTGGGTGGAGCACCACGAGACAGGTGAGTGACACCCCCAGGGACCCCCCCAGGACCCCCCCAGGACCCCCTGGCTGTGCTGGCCAGCAGTGGAAGCCTCTGGAGATGGGATTTTCCAAGTCCATGGTTTATCACTCCTGGCTGTGGCAGAGTGGCTTTGCAGGCAGGATTTGTCCTGAAGAAATTTGGGGAGACCCTGGAGGTTCAGTTCCACTGTAAGGGACAGAAAATAAACCTCCATCCCCTGAAGTTTAGCAAGCAAGAGGATAAATTCAGATTTAGGATAAAAATGGATGAGGATGGTGAAGCTGAATTCAGATTTAGGCTAAAAATGGATGAGGGTGGTGAAGCTGAATTCAGATTTAGGTTAAAAATGGATGAGGATGGTGAAGTTGAATTCAGATTTAGGTTAAAAATTAACAAGAAAGAGGAAGCTGAATTCAGATCTAGGTTAAAAATGGATGGGAATGGTGAAGTTGAATTCAGATTTAGGCTAAAAATGGATGAGGGTGGTGAAGCTGAATTCAGATTTAGGTTAAAAATGCCTCCAGGCCCCCCAGCAAGCAGCAGACAGAGGAGGAGCTGGCGGTGGCCACGGAGAACCTGGAGACGCTGCAGCTGCAGCCCCGAGGGCAGGGGACACCTGGGACCCTGGGGACACTTCAGAGGGTGGCCACGAGCCCAGGGACACTGCAGGTGGTGGCCATGAGCCCAGGGACACTACAGGTCACCCCTGGGAGCTTGGGGACACCTCAGAGGGTGGCCATGAGCCCAGGGACACTGCAGGTGGTGGCCATGAGCCCAGGGACACTACAGGTCACCTCTGGGAGCTTGGGGACACCTCAGGTGGTGGCAACAAGCCCGGGGATACCACAGGTCACCCCTGGGAATTTGGGGACCCCTCAGGGGGTGGCCAGTAGGCTGGGGACACCACAGGTGGTGGCCACAAGCCCAGGGACCCTGCAGCCCATGGGTTTGGGGACACTGCAACCACAGCCTCAAAGCCTGGAGCCACCACAGGTGACATCAGCGGTCCCCAACATGCAGGGGACACTGAAGGTGACACCAGGGGCTGTGGGGACCGTGCAGGTGCTGCCTGGGGGGCTGCAGATGCTGCAGGTGTGCTCAGAGGACTTGGGGACACTGCAGGGGACAATGGGGACGCTGCAGCTGGGAGCTGTGGAGCCACCACGGGTCCCCGAGGAGCAGGGGACACTGCCAGCGGAGCTGAGGGACCTGGAGCTGCTGCCAGGGGGACAGGACATGCAGGAGCTGCTGCAGGGGAGCCGCGACGTGCAGGAGCTGCTGCTGCAGTCGCTGGAGGGGCTGGAGGCGGCTCCGGGGACCCTGGGGACACTGGGGACACTGGGAGTGACTGAGCTGATGCCGGACGTGGTGGCAACCTTGGAGGAGAGCTTCCAGCTGAGCCCCGGTGAGTGTCGGGGCTGGGGCGGGGACAGAGGTGTCACCTGGGCACTGCCCTGTCCCCCTGGGCACAGGGGTGTCACCTGAGCACTGAGCTGTCCCCCTGGGCACCGAGCTGTCACCTGGGCACTGAGTTATCCCCCTGGGCACAGAGCTGTCCCCGGGCACTGCCCTGTCCCCCCGGGCACTGCCCTGTCCCCTTGGGCACAGAGCTGTCCCCAGGTCACCGAGCTGTCGCCGGGCACTGCCCTGTCCCCTCCGCAGGCAGCGCTGCTCTCCTGGACCAGCGCGATCCGTTCCTGCCGCAGCCCGAGGACTCGGCCGTGCCCTCGGTGCCCTCGCTCTTCACCGACTTCCCCCCGCTGCACATCGACGCCAGCGACTTCCAGTGACCCCTGCCCGGCCCCTTCCTTCCCAGGGACCCCTCCCCAGCTCCTTCCCTTTCTGGGGACCCCTCCCCGGTCCCTTCCCTCCCTGGGACCCCTCCCCAGCTCCTTCCCTTTCTGGGGACCCCTCCCCGGTCCCTTCCCTCCCTGGGACCCCTCCCCAGCCCCTTCCCTTCTGGGGACCCCTCCCCGGTCCTTTCTGTTCCAGGGACCCCTTCTGGGGACCCCTCCTCGGTCTCTTCCCTCCAAGAGACCCCTCCCCGGTCCCTTCCGTTCCAGGGACGCCTCCTTGGTCCCTTCCCTTCCCTCCCTAGTCCCTTTGGTTCCAGGGATCTTTTTCCGGTCCCTTCTCTCCCAGGGACCCCTCCTCAGTCGCTTCCCTCCGAGCGACCCCTCCCTGGTCCCTTCCTGGGACCCCTCCCCTTTCCCTCCCCTCCCAGAGACCCCTCCCCAGCCAATCCCTGTAAATAACCCCCTCCCCACGCCCCTCTCACTCAGCCGCCGCTCTCCCATCTCCGCGGGAGCTTTATTAGAAACTCATAAATACCCGATTTAAATAAAAACCGCGTCTCGCGCCATAAATAACCCCCGGGGGAGGGGCAATAAATAAGGGGGGCGGTGTCGGGGGGCGGTGTCGGGGGTCTCAGCGGGCGCTGTGGTTGAAGACACGGCCGATGAGGGCGGCGAAGGAGCGGAGCCGGTTCAGGGCCCGGTGCCGCTGCACCGGCTGCTCCCAGAGCAGGGTGGGCGCCAGGAGGGGTCGGGGGGCGCGACCGTGCCCGTCCTGGGGGGACACAGGGGTCAGCGGGGGGCTGAGGGGTGGCCGTGTGCCCGCTGGGGGTCACCCCCAGGGAAGGTTTGGGGACACTGAGGGACAGTGAGGGACATTGAGGGACGTTTGGGGACAGTGAGGGTCATTGAGGGACACTGAGGGACATTTGGGGACACTGAGGGACACCAAGGGTCACCGAGGGACACTGAGGGACACCGAGGGATAATGAGGGACACTGGGAGACATTGAGGAACACCAGGGGACACTGAGGGACCCTGTGGGATACTGAGGGACCTTCAGGGATGCTGGGGGACATTTGGGGACACTGAGGGATCCTGAGGGAGCCCGTGGGACACTGAGAGACAATGAGGGACCCTCAGGGACACCGGGGGACATCAGGGGACACCGAGGGACACTGAGGAACACTGGGGGACACTGAGGGACAATGAGGGACCCTCAGGGACACCGGGGGACAGGCTGGGACACTGAGAGATACCAAAGGACACTGAGGGACACCAGGGGACATGGGGGGACACTGAGGGACACTGAGGGACCCCGTGGGACACTGAGGGACAGGATGGGACACTGAGGGGACACTGAGGGTCACCGAGGGACACCGAGGGACACCGGGGGACAGGCTGGGACACTGAGGGGACACTGAGAGACCGAGGGACACACTGAGGGTCACCAAGGGACACCGAGGGACACCGGGGGACAGCGGGAGACACCGAGGGACACCGGGGGACACCGAGGGACACTGAAGGACACCGGGGGACAGCGGGGGACACGCCGGGCGCCCCGGGGCTCACCGGGACGTGGCGCAGCAGCCGCTCCAGGGCGCTCTGCAGCTGCGGCTGCGGCTGCTCGCGGAAGATGTCAGAGCCCAGCAGGTCCCGGTAGTGCTGCAGGGCCTGCCGGACCCGCTGCAGGCAGCGCTGCGGGGACCGCGGGTGACATGGGGCTCCGGGACCCCCCCCGGGACCCCCGCCACCCCCGAGGGCATCCCCAGGACCCCTCTGGGAGCTCCAAACTCGTCCCTGGGATCCCCAGAATCCCTAAGACCCCCCTGAGAGCTTCATCCTCAGCATCCCTGGGACACCCAGACATCCCTGGGACCCCTCTGGGAGCTCCAAATGCATCGTTGGGACCCCCGGGACCCCTAGACATCCCCAGGACCCTCAAGGGCATCTCCAGGGCCCCCAAGTTCATTCTCAGCATCCCTGGGACCCCCAAGTTGCTCTCCAGGCTCTGGGGGTCGCAGGCGTCGCTGCAGCGGATCCGGGGGGGCCAATTTTGGGGTTCGTCCTCCAGCAGCTGCAGCCCCTCCTGGAGCAGCGATCGGGGCCGTGCCCGCGTGTCCGGTACCGCCGGGGGGACACCGAACCCCCCCGGTCCCACCACTGCCGCGATCTCCCCGTTGCTTCCCGAGTCCCCGGTGCCCCCAGCGGAGCCCCCCGGTGCTTCCCGAGCTTCTCGGTGCCCCTAGCCGAGCTCCCGGCGCTTCCCGCTACCCCCGGTACCCCCGGCGGAGCCCCCCGGTTCTTCCCCAGCCTCCCGGTGTCCCCGGCAGAGCCCCTCGGTGTTCTGGCTGAGCCCCCGGTGTTTCTCGAGCCCTCCGGTGCTTCCCGAACCTCCCGATGCTTCTCCAGCCCCCCGGTGCTCCCGGCCGAGCCCCCGGTACTCCAGCTGAGCCCCCCGGTGCTTCCCGAGTCCCTGCTACCCCCGGCGGAGCCCCCCGGTACTCTGGCTGAGACCCCCGGTACTTCCCGAGAACTCCGGTACCCCGGTTGAGCTCCCGGTGCCCCTGACCGAGACCCCCGGTGCTTCCCGAGCTCCCCGGTGCTTCCCGAGCTTCCCGGTGTCCCTGGCGGAGCCGCCGGTGCCTCCCAAACCCCCCGGTGTTTCCCGAGCTTCCCGATGCTTCTCCAGCCCCTCGGTGCACCCGGCTGAGCCCCCCGGTGCTTCCCGAGCCCCCCGATGCTCCTCGAGCCTCCCGGTGCCTCCCGAGAACCCCGGTACCCCGGCTGAGCTCCCGGTGGCCCCGGCCGAGTCCCCGGTGCCTCAAGAACCCCCCGGTGTTTCCCGAGCCCCCGGTGCCTCCCGAGCCCCCCGGTGCCTCCCGAGCCCCCCGCACTCACCAGCACCGGGTGCGGTTCCCGGACCGCCGCCAGCAGCCGCGACAGCTCCCGGGACAGGACCCTGCAGGCGGCCCAGTCCGGCGGGCGGAGCGGGCCCGGTGCCGCTGCCGGTGCCGGTGCCGGTGCCGCGGGAGGCGGCGGCAGCAGAGCGAGGAGCAGGCAGAGGCGGAGGCGGCGGAGCGGAGCCATCGCTGCTCGGTCTGTGCCGCCACCGGCGCCGCCACCGGGCTCTTATGGGGCGGCGGCGGCAGGTGGGGAATCCCGGGGCAGGTGCTCCCGCCCCGCCGAAAGCAGAACCGATACCGGGCCGGGGTCCCCGGGCTGCGCCCCGCCGCACCGGGACGGGACGGGACGCGCAGGAAAACCCGGGGCAGTTCCTGGCGGCATGGGAGGCTCCGGCACCGGCACCGGCACCGGCACCGGCAGCGGCACCGACACCGACACCGACACTGACACCGACACTGACACCGGCACCGGCACCGACACCGGCACCGGCACCGACAGCGGGGCAGTCTCTCGGTTCACAAACTTCCCCGGTGCCGCCGTGTCCGAGCCGGTGCCCCCGGTTGTCCCGGGCTGTCCCGGGTCGGAGCGGGCCGTGCTGCCGCAATCTCGGCGGCTCCGGCGCTTCCCGCTCCGCCCGCCGGGGCTGCCCCCGGTTTTCCCCCGCACCGGGGATGGGCCGGGCACGGGGGGAGCGGGCGGGGACACGGCGGGGACAGCGGGGATGGGGGGACAGGGGGGACACTGAGGGACACCAGGGGACACTGGGGGACAGTGGGGGACAATGAGGAATGAGGGACACCGGGGGACACCGAGGGACATTTGGGACACCGGGGGACACCAAAGGACACTGGGGGACAATGAGGGACAATGTGGGACACCGGGGGACACCGAGGGACAGGGTGGGACCCTGAGGGACATTGAGGGATGCCAGGGGAGTGCAAGGGACACTGAGGGACCCCAAGGGACATTGAGGGACATTTGGGACACTGTGGGACAGTGAGGGACACCGGCGGACACGGTGAGATACCAAGGGACAGAGTGGGACACTGGAACATTTGGGGACATTTGGGGACACCTTGGGATGCCGTGGGACATTCAGGGACCCCGTGGGACACTGTGGGATGCCAGAGGACAGCGGGGAACATTTGGGGACACTTTGGAGACCCCAAGGGGTGCCAGGGGACAGCGCGGGACACTGGGACACTTGTGGACACTTGGGGACATTTGGGGACACTTGGGGACCCTTGGGGGACATTTGGGGACACTTGGGGACCCTTGGGGGACATTTGGGGACACTTTGCGATGCTGTCGGGTGCCAGGGGACAGGGTGGGACCCCAGGGGACATTGTGGGACCCCCGTGCACGCTGTGTAGGAATGCCAAGGGACACCGCGGGACACTTGGGGACACTTGGGGACCCCGAGGGGTGCCAGACACCCGCGGACACCGCGGGACGCCCCGCGCTGCTCCGTGACACCCCGTAGGCTCTCGTAGGTGACCGGGGACGCTGCATGACACCAGTGGGACCCCACAGGCCGCAGCCGCCGCACGGCTGGGCAGCGCCCGGGGCTCCGAGAGGCCCCCGGTGGTCCCGGGGCTCCCCCCGGGGCTCCCCCGCCGCGAACCAGCGGATTGCAGCCTTTTTGTCCCGTGCGGCGCCCCGTCCCGCCGCTCCGCTTAGTCCCGCCTCCTTCGAGCGCTGATTGGCTGCCTCCCAGCGCTCTGCGCTGCCATTGGTCAGCGGCGCGGGGCGGGCCCGGTGTACCGGGCAGGGGGCGCGGTTGCCGTAGCGACGGCGGGAGCGGCCCCGGCCCCGGCCCGGCCGCGGCGGCGCAGCGGGACGAGCCCGGGAGCGCGGCCCCGGCGCGGCTCTGCCCGCGGAGGCTCGGTAACAGCGCGCGCGGCGGGGTGGCGGTGGCGGCTCCGGTGCTCGGTGAGAGCGGCCGCTCGGGCCGGGCCCCCCGTGCCCCGCCCGGGACTGCGGCCGCTGATACCGGCGGTGCTAAGCGCGTTCGGTGTGGGCTGGCGGTGATAAAGGCGGCGGGTGCGGAGCTGGCCCGGAGCCCCGGGGGTGGCGCGGGGCGGGGCCCGGTTTGGCTCCCCGGTGCCTTGGGACACGGCCCGCTTCCTCTGGAGGTTGTTCCGTGCCCTGGGACCACTGCCCGGTATCCCCGGGAGGCTGCCTGGCATCTTGGGCTGCTGCCCGGTTAGCCCGGATGCTGCCCGGTGCCCAGAGACCCCAGCCCGGTATGCTGGGACCCCTGCCCGGTGCCCAGGAGCAGTGCCCGGTACTCAGGGACCCGTGCCCGGTGCCCAGGGACAGTGCCCGGTGCTCAGGGACCCCTGCCCGGTGCCCAGGGACAGTGCCCGGTACCCAGGGAATGTAGCCGGTGCTCCCGTTAATCCTGGCTGCCGTTCCTGCCCCTCTGGGACCCCTGCCCGGTACCCAGGAGCAGTGCCCGGTGCCCAGGGGCCCCTGCCCGGTGCCCAGGGACCCC